TCACGTTCCCGTACTCGGCGACACGTGCTCCGACGGGACCACACACGTGGCTCCTTAGTTTTCATTCTTTCCTCCCTTTATGTCTTCCTTACTTCGTTCGATTTTTGCGAGCTCGAGATCGCGCCTCCCTCTTCGAGGAATCGAAAAAGGATCGATAGTGGCGTTCGATGGCGCTCGGATGCGATCGAATATCGGGAACGAGAAGCACGATCTCTTCGAGAATTTGGAATATTCGCGAATTTCTTGCGTTGAAAGAATTTATAGTATCGAATTGTATTAGATCTTATAAGCAGGTCTCTGTTTTTTACGTATACATTACCCATACGGGTAAAGATAAATTATTATTTGTTAGTAATTAATGTAATTAAGCATATAGTATAATATACTATTGTATACGTTGTTATCATGTATAAATAAAAATTCAATTATGCCGAAAATAATTGTTATGAAATGAAAAATGTATATCGAGTTTTAGCTTTTCCTGGCTAATTAAATTTTAACAGTTACCTTATGAAGGATATGAAATTTGTAATATAATTTTAGATAGCTTATCCTCTTGGGTTAGAATGTAAAAGGATTAGACTCATCGCTCAGGAAAATCGCATTACTTACACGATGATCTATAATATTTTGAAGTAGAATAGGATGATCGATTATTGGATAGAACTTTTGAACTATAAAATACTATGGACAATCTATTTATCCAAATCTGTCGACGAACGAACAATTTATTGAACGTGATCGAAATTCATTGATTCCTTTCATTATATATATTTCATTCAAATTGTTCGAGATTGAAATAAATGAAATCAATCTATTAGAAATTCATTTAATTCTAATATTCCAACGAATGGATACAAATTCTAACGTAATAGCACGATTTGTTATTTCGCGAGGATCTGTTGCTGTTTCTTAGATCTCGAGACGTTTATGAACGAAAAGGATGGAATTCGTATATACACAATATATAACAATACAATAATATTATCGTTCTGTGTGTCATATTTTATCAACCTGTTACGTTTTATCGTATTATCCGACGCAATAAAAGCATTGTAGCTTATAAGGAAGCTGTGCCTATCTCGAAGATTAACAAGCTGTTTAACGAGGGTAACCACTATTTTTAAGCATTAAATTTTATCGATCGCCCCTATCTGAGATCTTTAAAACCTGAACTTGTCCCGAAGATCCTCGAACAGATAGGATAGGACTAGTGTACACAGGTTTACGCCAAGCCGATATTTATTCATGGCTCTGGCCACGCGGTCGCGTTCGCACTTGCACGAACACCTCCCTGATAAAATCTACTCCTGTTGCTGACCATTCGATTTCCCGATCCACCTTACCTCTCCACGCTTCTATATCTTTGCCATTCAATAAAATTGATATCCGTATCTGCGAGAAATGAAAGAATATTAGGAAATGAGATTAGATAATAAACTTTATCGGGGATCGAGATTTAAAAATTGTACGTATTGAAAATCGAAGGAGTAGAAATTAATTAGATGAACCATTCCATTTAGTATTCACATCGAAATCATGGATTTAGGATGTAACGATGGAAACGAAGTTTTCGATTAGAATAATATCCAACTTATTAACACACTTTGTTAATTGTAAGGACTTTTTGCCAATTATTTTTTAAAAAGAAAGGTAACAGTCGAACATTGTCGAAGATACGCTCGAAAGCATATCTTTATATCTATATTGTACATTTACTGGGAGACGGTAAAATGTATTTAATCTAGTTACGTACGAGATTATGTATCGAGACAAGTTTTCGTATCAACCAGCACTTATCTAAATTATTAACCTGTATTTCTCTTATATAGAAGTACAATATAAATAAAATATTTTACATTAATGATATTAAGATGATAGCAGTTTCATTGGTTATAAACGAATGAAAATTTGCATTTAGATAGCAGGTAATGACTTTCCTCGGAATAGTTTTTCTTTTTTAACATTTTTCGTTTTGCTTTTGGCAAGATATAATATTTCTAATTAAAAAAAAAAAAAAAATGGACAAAACTCTTGCTGCCTTCGCGTAAAACACGTATCCCTAGATACTCGTATCTCGCGTACGTTACTAGATGTCACTAGATGTTTGTATAAAAGTAGCGGGAAATACGAAGAACAAGAATTCGCGTGTTCTCGTTGCAAAACCGTTATTTTCACCAAGAATACAATGTAATCGGGTGAATGACATATGGTGCGTGTAAGTGCACGGTCGGACTCTTTGTTCAATTAATTTGAATTCACGGTTCAACAAGGCGAATCCAAGCCGGACAAATAGCCGTGGTCTTCGGCGGGTTGGCAAGCAAACTGCGGACATACCAGGGTAAAACAGATCTGACCCACGAAAGCTGTTGAGTTATCTCTAAAACAGTGACATAGGGAGACGCTTAATGAGTTCCGGGCAATATTTAGATCTGGGACTGATTGATGACTCGAACTGGAAATTGTTTTTCCTTTTTTTTTTTTTTTTTATTTTAGTTGACGATGACAAATTTCGCAC